ATATGTTGTGTGTAAAAAGCTTTTTTAAAGTAACTACAATATTTCCCTTGGAGATGTGGTGAAGTAGTAAAAAGTGGCATGAAATGAAAATACTCAAGTTCAGTACAAATACCTCGTGTACTTAAGTACAGTACTACTTTGTTACTGTCCATCACTGGGCTTAGCTTTGGCTACCTGAAACTAAGGAAGACTAGATGTTTTTCTATATTTTGGCTCTGGACAGAGCGCTATCTTCCATCGTGATGATGTAAATGGCTAAACCTTGAGGCACAGTGCCTCAGCTTATCAGCTCTACCTACTGTTATACTTTCTATTTGTTCGGGTCAGTTATTGATGGGTAAAATTTAACTGCTAGTAAAAGCTTGAGAGAACTGGCAAGGGCCAAGGGGCCACAGCTGCAAATATTTGAGTGGCTCCTCCTCTAACAAGCGTTATCTCACTCTAAACTTTTGATAAAACTTGAGAGCCCTGAATGTTTCTGTCTCCCCTGTTTGTTATCCGTGTGCCTGTTGACGTTGATGTGGGTGTGACTTTCCTTCCACCACGTCTCCTGGCTGCTGGCTTCACACACCTGTTCACAATCCACCAATCATCCTGCTCACCTTACTCACCTGCTTCTCATCATCTTGCTTACCTGCAATACAACTGCAGTTTTCCATCCAGTCTTTGCCAGATTGTTTTTCAGCCATAGTGATCTCTCAGACAGCAGTTTGACCTCTTGTGCATTTTACTTCTTTTGTATGTGCTTAACCTGCCTGCTAACATGTGTCTTGGAGCTCCAGGATCATCACATGCATGTCTGCCTCTTGTATTCTTCATGCCAGTGGGCTCAGTGTATACATGTGTGGAATGATGAATGCACATGTAGTGTAAAAGCGCTTTGAGTGGTCGTAAAGACTAGAAAGGCGCTATACAGATACGAAGCATCTTGATCCTGGCTCAATTCCTGCTGTGTTGCTTTGATCCTGGGTCAGGGGTCCCCTCTGTCCCCAAGTACTATGCCAATCAACTGTCCTGTAATCGTGTGGTGGAGGGACAGGATAACAACACAGTCCCAACAACAAACCTTAAACACAAAGACACCAAGAGACCAGATGAGAAAATAATTAAAAGACGGATAAAGAAACAAGATTACAGTCTAGAGATAAGATAATCTACAGAGAGTAGTCGATACAACAATAGTTGAATTATGAAAATGATCAAGATAGTAACAGAGCAACACATAACATTACATAAAGCTGTTACAGTTTTCTGTAAACGAGTTGCCGATTTTGACTTTAAAAATGGCAGTGGGGACTAGAGTGGACAGTTTGATTGGTTCCAATCATTGGAGGCAGGGAACTGAAAGGCGGTGCGACCTAATGATGTGTTAGTTAAAGGGATTTGTAGCCAGATGTGACTAGAAGAGCGGGTGCTGTAGGTGACGGAAGGAGGATGAAATAGACATCCCAAATACATCACTAAAGTATAGCATGGGTAATAAAGTCATCTGAATCAGGGGGAGTTTAGCAGATTGGGTGAGAGATGACCGATTATGGTAGAGAAACCCCAATCTGGCCTTGACCTTGGCCTGTAGCTTGGTAATGAGAGTAAGATGGTGTGCTGTCTAGCCAAACTCCCCAAGTATTTCTATGTATTTACTTGCTCTAGTTCCAGATCCTCAACTGTGGTAATTACACCAGGGTGGGAGAGAGTGTTTTTCATACCAAACCACATTAACTTTGTTTTGGAGGTATTAAGGACGAGGTGAAGGTCAGAGGAAGTTTGCTGGATACAATTCTCAGAACCTGTTCCGGGGAGGACCCAACTGAATACAAAATGGTTTTATATTCAGTTTAAGGTTCATAGAAACAGTAACATTCACACAAATAATCCTCCAGGAATGACAATGTCTAACCGGGGTCTATATACAGACGTAAAAATCTTTGAATAAGTCAACCACATCATTAAAAAAGGACACGACATATCAGAGCTTCTTCCTGCTTTGCTGTCGGTGCTCTGATCAGAAGCCTATAATTCCTGCAGCACTAGAAATATGAATGCTTTATGTGCTTTAATGTCGACTGTATGAATGATTAAATGAAACGTGTGTCAAACAGCTGCTTCAGGCTCCAGAGGAGGGGAGGAGTCAGAGTCAGGTGACGTAAACCTCCTCAGAGGTCAGGTTCACATCACTTGCCCGAGTTACTGTTTATCTGAAACAGGAAGCCCAGAGTTTCCCTCATCTCAGGCTTAACAAACTCAGAGTTTTCACTTATCCCTCTTTGTGAAACAGGGGAGTTGATGAGGTGATTGGGATCAGGTGTGGAAAGAGAGCCCAGGTGCCAGAGAGGAGCCGGCCACACCCACTGGCTGAAGCCCATACGAACACACAGAGACGGGAGGGAGGGGAAACAAATGGGACACAGAAAGCCACAACTGAACTGTGAAACAGACTTTATTTGTCTTTAACCGGTCGAGGCAGATGGCCATCCACCCTGAGTCACCGTTCTGCTCTAGGTTTCCTTGCCTCTGCCTCAAGTGTTTGCTCATGGTGGGAATTGAAGGGTCTCTGTTAATTTTATTACAGAGTACAGTCTATACTTGCTCTATATGGAAAATGCAGTAAGACAACTTTTGTTTTGAATTGGTGCTATATAAATACAATTTAAATGAAATTCGGAATCATAACAAGGGCAAGAGGTCAAACTATCATCAATTAAACATTTAGACCGCTTTGGACGGCAGCTGTACTGTACATACTGGATTAGACCAATTACATTCAATTTAATTTGTCCATCCTCTGATTCCTTAAATATGATGTTGGCATGTAAAAAACAGTATCTGACTGAGGACCAGCTTATTTGGCAGAATGTGTATCTCAGAATTTGAAACACACTAAGCACTGAATCAGTAACAGTGAGTTGATTTTGTTGCCATGCTGGGAGAGCAGTTCACACTGCAAACCAGTTAATGATTTTGAAGGCTTTGAGAGTCTTTTGCAGTAGCCAGCTACCTAATAGGCATACATATTTCTACATCAATGTACATGCAGAACAGGTTTTACTATATGATTGTATTATTTTAATTTAAATACATGCAAATATACTTTTTGTTGCCTTTTAGTTTGTGGTTTACCATTTAGGCTACAGTGTGTGCTTCCATGGGAGCTGCCATTGTTTTGTGACGTCATTCAGCTGCTACTTGTCAAGTCGGGGTACATATTTTTTTCTCCGAGTTCACAAGTAGGAAATCCAACTTCAAGTAGCGTCGGCCTTTGTGTTCTGTGTGGCTTGCTGCATGGTCCGTAGTGTCCCAACAACAAACCTTAAACACAAAGACAGAAAGGAGTTTCTCTGTTCATCTCGAATTTTCTTCATCTACTGCCCGTCTTTCTTGTGGGGTCCCCCAAGGGTCCATATTGGGCCCCATGGTTTTTTTTTACTGTACATGTTGCCATTGGGTCCATTTTCAAGAACCACAATATCTCCTTTCATTGCTTTGCAGATGACATTAAAATCTATTTGCCTGTAAAATCCAATGATAAAGCCTCAACTCAGTCCTTGCTCAACTGCCTGAGAGATCTTAAAATATGTTTGAATCAGAACTTTCTCTGTCTGAATGAAAGTAAGACCAAGAATCTAGGTGTGATCTTCAACAGTGCTTTTAAATTTGAAAAACAGGCTAGTTCTGTTGTAAAAGCCAGTTTCTTCCAGCTGAGATTGTTGGCTAAAGTCTAGCCCTACCTACCATGCAAAGACTTTGAAAGAGTCATCCATGCATTTGTAAACTCGACTAGACTACTGTAAATCTTTGTACGTTGGAGTGGATCAGTCAGCTCTCCATTAGTTACAGTTAGTCCAGAATCCTGCAGCTCGACCTCCAAGTGGAACTAAAAAGCATGAGCACATTATCCCAGTTTAAGCCTCGCTCCATTGGCTTCCTGTCCGCTTTATTATTGATTTTTAAGATTTTATTGCTTGTCTTTAAAGACACTCCAGTCAAAGCACTGAGGTCATCCAATCAGATGCTCCTTGATTTCCCCAGATCCAGGTTAAAAACTAAAGGTGACGGTGCCTTCTCAGTAGCTGCTCCTAATCTTTGGAATACTTTACCTGTTGAAATAAGAATTTCCCGGACCGCTGACACTTTCAAATTCTTGTTAAAGACCCATTCATTGGCCTTCAAACACAGATGATTGGTGACATTTGACCTTTTCTACTGTTGTTGTGTATATTTGTTCTGTATTCTGAAACTGGAAAGCACTTTAGTCAACTAGAGTTGTTTTTTAAATGTGCAATATAAATAAACGTGAACTTGAACTTCGGTCAGATCAAGTGTTTGATCCTCAAAATAACTCATCTACACTTTTAGCTGAGGTGAGGTCAGGCAGTCATGTCATGACCACAGAACAGAATAATGCATATTTGTACCTTTCTTACTTCCTTAGTGGAGGAGGTGTAGATTACAGGAACCTTCTGAACGTCATCACGTACTACATTTACTGCAGAATAGGTGCAGAGGACAACGCATCAGACTCGCAGCTTTCAAAGGTAAAGTTTGGTACATTACTTTCTTTATATGTAGAGATGATAAAAACTGCAAACAGTCATGAAGGTGGATGTGCATACTCCATCAGAGCAGGGGCGTCCCTCTCTAACTTCAAGAAGCTCTTGAAAACTCATCTCTTCTGAGAACACTTGTTCTTATAACACCTAACTCCTAGCTCTTACTAGTATTTATTGCTGCTCTTACTAGTATGTATTGTCAGTTGTAGATCTCCTGCTGTATTTGATGCTTTTATGTTGTTTCTCAAATGTAAGTCGCTTTGGATAAAAGAGTCTGCCAAATGAGTAAATGTAAATGCATGAATATATTAAAATTATATACTACAGGTACACTGTGTTTGTGTGAACTTCACCTCACAGCTTTAGTAATGTCACTGAACAATGTTAGGTAGATATTAAAAAACCTGCTCCCTTTTAATAACCTGATCTCTCAAACAGGTTTCACTCTGAAGAATGGACGGTCTCTACATTAACAGCACCTCACAGGACCAAAGCTTTAACCACATCAACATCACCTCCAACATTAACAATGAGCCAGACATCAAATATGTGTTGACATGCGTAATCATTGCTATTGGCCTCCCGTTGATCCTCGTGGCCATCTGTGCTCTTTATTCTATGGTATGTACATTCTGAATGAGTTATTTATTTCCTGTCTGTGTCGTATCTGTCCTACAGTCTGTCTGTCTATAAAGGATCTGGTTTCGGGGCTAGGTGTCAGGGAGCTGGGACAAAGGCTTGTAATTATCTATAAATTTACAGGAATAATTGACTCCATAATTAAAATGTACATGAAGCTGATTGGACCCTAAACACGTGCAGTTTACATGTGTGGCTCCATTCAGCCTTCTCTTAAGCTGTTGAGGTTAATGGAACCATTTAGTAGTGTTGTAGCACTCGAGGCTAGTCTTGAGACCACTTTTTTGATGGTTATGTCTCGGACTCGACCGCATTTGGACTCTGTCTTGAACATGGAGGACTAGGGATTTTACAAGACCAGTCAAGACCATAACTTAGGAAATAATAAGCAATAATGAATTGCTTTTGCATTGTCTGATTTATTTTCTAACATCCCAACTTTGATTGGATATAAAACGTATTGCCAAGATGGCACTGAGTATAGCTGCCTCGGTGTTGGGTGCGCTTTGTTTTGGTTTTGTTTGTTACTTCAGTTTTCGGCTGTTATTCACGGAGCTCTTTCACCAGGGAGGAGCTCATGAACATTAGGGGAACAACTCAGCGGATTTAATTCCCACTTTTCTTGAGTCATCAGTGGAATTATTGGACATTTTGGTGAAGGGCTCGCTCGCTGTCAAGCGCAGCAGGAGAGGGAAAAGAGCCGGGTCGCTTGGGCGTCTTTGCCAGCGGGGACTCCGCACACCGCTACCGGCAATATTTCTCTCCAACGTGTGCTCACTGTGCAACAAACTGGACGAACTTCAGCTTCTGGTGGGGAAAAACAGAGACTTTCATCTTCTGTTCTGTGCTTCACGGAGACGTGGTTGTGGGAGCTGATACCGGACTCCGAACTACCGCGCTGCAGCTGGCAGGCTTCCAACTGTACAGAGCGGACCACGACACAGAACTCTCCGGCAAAACAAAAGGTGGAGGTGTCTGTTTTTATATCAACAATGGCTGGTGTAGCGACGTGACAGTGATTCAGCAGCACTGTTCTCCTGATCTGGAATTTCTTATCATTAACTGTAAACCGTTTTACTCCCCCCGTGAGTTTGCTTCATTCACTCTGGTCGGTGTTTACATTTCGCCGCACGCCAACGTTCAGGACGCACAGCGCATGCTGGCCGACCGGATACTGTGTGTGGAGCAGACAAACCCGGACTCCCTTGTTATTGTTCTCGGCGACTTTAACAGGGGAAATCTCAGCCAAGAATTCCCCAAATACAGACAGTTTATAACGTGTCCAACCAGACAGGGGAACACTTTGGATCACTGCTACACCACAGTTAGCAGTGCCTATCACGCGGTCACACGCGCTCCACTGGGACAATCTGATCACTGCTTACAGGCAAAAACTAAAGCTCTGTAAACCTGTAGTGAGGACATCAAAGAAGTGGACTAGTGAAGCTGTTGAGGACCTCCAGGCATGTTTGGACTGCACTGACTGGGATGTTTTCAAGAATGCTACCAACAATCTGGATGAGTTTACAGAGGCTGTGACGTCCTACATCAGCTTCTGTGAGGACAGCTGCATTCCAACACGGACCAGGGTGAGTTATAACAATGACAAACGCTGGTTCACAGCTAAACTCAGACAGCTGAGGTTGGAAAAAGAGGAGGCATTTAGGAGTGGAGACGGGGCCGGGTGAAGGGCGTTAAACGTGTACAGGTTTAGCAGGGAGGTGTGAGAAGCTAAACGACTCAGAAAGACTAAAGAACCAGTTCTCTGCAAATGACGACAATTCTGTCTGGAGGGGGTTCAGACAGATCACAAACTATAAACCCAAAGCCTCCACTCCATAAACGATTCTCGCCTGGCAAATAATCTGAACCAGTTCTACTGCCGCTTTGAGAGTCAATCAGACACCATCCCCGTGACTTCTCCGCTCAGCTTCAGCCTCAGTCCACCACTTCTTCCCCTCCCTCCTCAGAGCTGGCCAGCTGCACCCCCTCCACCTCTCTCCATCACAGAAAAGGAAGTCAACGGTCTTTTCAGGAGGCAGAAACCCCGCAAAGCAACTGGGACGGACTCTGTCTCCCCATCCACCCTGAAGCACTGTGCTGATCAGCTGTCTCCGGTGTTCAGACATTTTTAACACCTCACTGGAGACATGCCATATGCCAGCCTGCTTCAAAGCCTCCACCATCCCTGTCCCCAAGAAACCAAGGACCACTGGACTAAACGACTACAGACCCGTTGCCCTGACCTCTGTGGTTATGAAGTCCTTTGAATGCCTTGTGTTGTCCCACCTAAAATCCATCACAGACCCACTCCTGGAACCCCTGCAGTTTGCCTACAGAGCCAACAGCAACAACATGGCCCTTCACTACATCCTCCAGCACCTGGACTCTCCAGGAACCTACGCAAGGATCCTGTTTGTAGACTTCAGGTCACCATCATACCGGCCCTGCTGCAGGACAAGCTCTCTCAGCTGAACGTGCCTGACTCCACCTGCAGGTGGATCACTGACTTCCTGACGGACAGGAAGCAGCACGTGAAGCTGGGAAAACATGTCTCTGACTCCAGGACAATCAGCTCCGGTTCCCCTCAAGGCTGCGTTCTTTCCCCCCTGCTCTTCTCCCTGTACACCAACAGCTGCACCTCCAGTTATCAGTCTGTCAAGCTCCTGAAGTTTGCAGATGACACCACCCTCATTGGGCTCATCTCTGGTGGGGATGAGTCCGCCTACAGGTGGGAGATCGACCATCTGGTGACCTGGTGCAGCCAGAACAGTCTGGAGCTCAACGCTCTGAAGACCGTGGTGACAGTCGTGGACTTCAGAAAGAGCACAGCCCCACCCTCCCCCTATGCTATAGTTGCTTGTCAGTTATTTGCCATTGAGATGCACAATTTAGTCAACAGAGGGAAGTAGCTAATGCTGAATGATACGATTGAATAAGCACTTAATATTTTAAATCTGTTTATTTTTTTGTTGAGGAAAAAGGGACTGAAAAAAAGATTTTACTTAATTTAAGTCCCTGGGTTGGACTGGCGACCTGTCCAGGGTGTACCACGCCTTTCGCCCGATGTAAGCTGGGATTGGCTCCAGTTATTTGGTTAATGACTACACACACACTCACACACACTGAGCAAGTGTTCACAACATGTTTCCAACTGCTTGTTGACTTTTACCAATGTTTTCCGGCTGGTGAGAAGTGATCATGTTGCTCCCATCTACGTCATAAACCTTCTCATTGCTGACCTCATCCAGCTCTGCTGCATGATCGTTGACGTGGCAAAACCTGAGGATAAGAAGATATATAACATATTTTCATATATTCACCTCTTTGCTCTGTTTGCCAGTATTGGCTTCATGGTCTGCGTCGCCCTGGAAAGGTATCTATCTGTCTATCCAGTATGTGTGGAGCTCCTTCTGTGTCTGAACATTATATTAGTTTATAACTCTGAAGCTCCTCAAAGACTTTGTGTCCATCTTGTATTACAGGTATTTGGTCATCGCCCACCCGCTGTGGTACCGCTTCAGACGAACCATCAAGTCCTCTGTGGTGATCTGTGTCGCGGTCTGGGTCCTTTCTCTCGTCTGTGCCGTTCCTTACTATTTGTATGATGCTGATGGGGTCATTTACACAGTCTTCGCCGTCCTCTTCCTCCTTCCCTTCCCGCTGTTAATATTCTTCCTGGTTGGGACCCTCAAAGCCCTGTCTGCTTCCATCTCTGTCCCGTCTGATGAAAAACGACGAATTGTGGGAGTTTTGGTTCTGGTGCTGCTTATTTACACCCTGCTGTTCCTGCCCAGAATCATTATGTACCTGGAAGTAGACTATGACGAGAACCTCTTCAACCTGTCGCAAATGTTGCTTAGATTCAGTCCTCTTGCAGACTTGTTCCTGTATGTCTTCATGAGGAAGAGGTTCATAGACAAGCTTTTGGCCTCTGTGTGTTGCTGCAGAATGGACAGCAATGATATCAGCAGTCCATCAGTATGAATGATGACAACATTTCCACAGTCAGCTTCATGTAGGCAGAGAAAGGGGGAGAGAGAGAAAGGGGAGGAAACAGGAAGCCAATAGAAATGATAGATATTCAATTCAATTTTATTTATATAGCGCCAAATCACAACAACAGTTATCTCACAGCGCTTTTCATAAAAGAGCAGGTCTAGACCGTACTCTATGATGCTATTTACAGAAGCCCAACAGTTCCCACCAAGAGCAGCACTAGGCGACAGAGGCAAGGAAAAACTTCCTTTTAAGAGGCAGAAACCTCGAGCAGAACCATGGCTCAGGGTGGGCGGCCATCTGCCTCGACCGGTTGGGGTGAGAGAGAGAGAGAGAGAGAGAGAGAGAGGGCAGCCTACACAATATACACACAGAGGTACAGACAGTAAAGGTGATGTTGCTATAGACTAAATGAAAAATGGTACAGATATTTATAGTAGTGTTAATGGTAACAGTCGTAATGTTAATGATTATAATAACAATAATAACAATAGGACTAGTAACAATAGTCGTTGCAGCAGAGGGTGTCGAGCAGGAACACGGGGGCAGCAGGTGACCCGCAACCACAGATCCAGACTCCACAGCTCCAGAGCCAGAAAACCTGCAGGAAGATATACTACAGTTTATATGAAATTGTACATTTTCTGGAAATCCAATAAAAATCAGTTTGTAGACCAAACTGTGAATGTTTGTCTTTGACCAACTCAGTGAATTAAAAGCTGACAAATGAAGGTTTAACAAAATCTCTGCTGGTTGACAAATCTCTGTTGTCTATATGAACATAAAGCCCAACCTGCTGTTAGCAGGGAGGCATCCTGCACTTTCTGACCAAATGAGGTTTCCTCACAACTCTTAAAGCTTTCAGACTTTTTTAGATAATTTGGGGCAGAAATGATAAAGTGTTCCGCTTTGCAAACTTTAGCCCATTAGTTGAGATCCAACAATAACAAGCATTCATTCTTTCATACATGATAATAGAAAATTAATACAGTCTTGAATGATTTTAACTCCATTCAGAGCTCACATATGTAATTTCATTCTCCCCCTCTCTGTCCATGATGAGACAGGCCAGACTCCGAGATCTGTAACTTATGTTGCTGTTGCTCCCTCACTCCTTTGTTGCATTTTACAGATATGCTGAGAATGCACCATAATTTTCCTTCAAAACTGTATGTGTCATGTGTCACTGCATACAGTCTGGCTTGGGGGGGGGCTGGTTTTCCATCACTGAGCGCAGCCCTGAGAAGTGCAACCAGAATACACCAGACCATTTTCAAATATGTGGGAGTGTAACACTGTTTTCCATATCAGCTGAATATTGAATTTCTTGCTTTAATCAGTGTTAAGTCTTTGTGGTGGTGACTGCACTCTCAATCCAAACACTTATCTGTACTGTATTTTTCAAAGTAAAATAATATTAGTGCAGTAATTCTGAGACAATATTATAGATAATAAAAAATATATATATCCTTCCTAGACTTTTGAGCACTAGGATTAAAACAGCATGATGCAAGTGAGATGTTTTAGTGTTTGGGCTGCAGCTTGGACTGCTGCTATATTTTCTGTGAACCACCAGATGTCACTGTGCCGGCTGAGTTCAGTGCCCAGAAGCTTCAAATCTTTTCCCAGCACAAACCAGAGCAAAACCCAAAAACTGCATGAAGCTCATTTAGAAATGTTATTCTACCTTTATTTAGCTGCTACATTACATTCATTTGGCAGATGGGTTTTTTGTAAAACTTAACAATAAGTGTGTTCAAACCTCAGTAGTTTTACAAAGAGCAATTTTTACTTCTGCACGCTGTTGACATTCACACAGTTACACGCATTCACACATGGAAGCGCCACACTACTGCAGAATGTTTGGACGCAGAGGACAGAAAATCTCACTGTGGCAGAGTGATCTTGTTCAGAGGACGGTATCCAAAGTCCAACTTCTCTTTGGGTTACCTGAGCCCAACTTTGGGGATAACTATTAGGCTTTCATTATCTTTAATTAAGAGCACTGTGTCTCCTCAGATCTACGCCAAAGACTACGCCACTAGAGATATGGATTTAGAATATTTTATTGTATCATACAAATGGAGAAGAGCCGAGATGATGTACCGTAATGGATTAAGGGTCCGGATGGAGGGATGAAGGGACGAGGAAGCAGAGTGAGGGGTCGAGGGATGCCGGGATGAGGAGATAAGGGTGATGAATGAGGGAGTGAAAAGGTGAGGGATAGAGGGTTAAAGGGAGAGATCAGGGTTGTTGATGAATGGATGGATGAAAGAGGACGATGGAAGGTGGCAGGTTAGGCAGGAGGGATCCAGGGGAGTCCAGACTCAGGGCAGGTGAGCCATCTCTTCAGGGAAGCTAGAAAAGACCCTTCTGTGATGTGAGTGTCTTGGAGGGCAAACGTAACTGGCTGGTCTTGGGTTGTACAGAAAGTAGTTTGTGGGGTTTGGGTGTGAGTCTAGTCGAAGGAAGAGGTCGAAGTATTGTTGCACTTTGGGTAGTTTATTAAAGTGTTAGGAGAATGGACGGAAATTCCAGGCAGCACAAAAGCTGAAGGAATCCAGTGGGAACATGGCCTTTTATTGTGGCCAGCCTAAGGCCCACCTGTGCAATACCCATGCAGAATGTTGTTTAGGTAGGTTATTGAAGGTGCAAAGAAATGGTAACATTCACACAAATAATCTCCCAGGAACAACAAATGTCTTTCTATAGACGTAAAAATCTTTGAATAAGTCAACTACATCGTTCACAAAGGACTCAACATGTCAGAGCTTCTTCCTGCTGTGCTGTCAGTGCTCTGATCAGTAGCCTATAATTCCTGTGGCACTAGAAATATGATTGCTTTGTGTGCTTTAATGTCGACTGTATGAATAAGGAAATGAAACCTGTGTTGGACAGCTGCTTCAGGCTCCAGAGGAGGGGAGGAGTCAGAGAGTTTAGCGAAGTAAACCTCTTCAGAGGTCAAGTTCACAACATCACTTGCCCGAGTTACTGTTTATCTGATCTCGGTCTCAGAAACAGGAAGCCCAGAGCTTCCCTCTTAACAAACTCAGACTTTTCACTTATCCCCCTTTCTGAAACAGGGCCCAGAATTACTAGAGCTGAGGACTTGATGAGGTGATTGCAATCAGGTATGGAGGAGAGCCCAGGTGTCAGAGTAGAAAGCCACGCCCACTTGCAGAAGCACATACAAACACATACAGAGAACCACTTGGGAAACAGAAAACCCATAAAGTCACAACGAGTGGCGGGCCTGAGCCACAGTTCTGTGTGAGGTTACCTTGCCTCTGTCACAAAGTGTTTGCTCATGGTGGGAAGTGTTGGGTCTCTGTTAATAACACACAGAGTAGGGTATAGACGATATGAAAAGTGCAATGAGATAACTTTTGTTTGGAATTGGCGCTATACAAATAAAACTGAAGCGAATTTGGAATAACAAAGCAAGAAGTCCAAAACTATCATCAAAATAAAAAATGCAGAGAGCTTTGGACGATAGCTGTAAAGTACATTCTGTCTTAGACAAATCACATTGAATTTAATTTGTTCTCGCATTCCTTAAATTTGATGTTGGCATGAAAAAAAACAGGATTTGACAGTACCAGCTTATTTGTAAGAATGTGATTCACAGATTTTGAAACATTAAAAACCCAAGTAACAGTGAGTGGATTTTACTGCTCGCTGAGAAAGGCATTTAATGGTTTTGAAGACAAGCAGCGTACATCTTCCATTTTAAGCCTACAGGAAGAGTTTGACACTCAAAGCAGCTCATCTAAACTTTCAGCTGAGGTGACGGCAGGCAGCCATGTCATGACCACAGAACAGAATAAAGCATATTTGTGCCTTTCTCACGTCTTTTGAAGAGGAAGTGTAGTCAACAGGAACCTACTTCTTATCGCTTACTATATTTACTGTAGACTGTTAAGATGCAGAGGACACCACATCAGACTTTGCAGTAGGAAACTCATTCAGGTGGGGTCTCAGAGCTTTCAAAGGTAAAGTTTATTATAAAGATTATTTTTTTCTTATGTAGAGATGACAAGAACTGCACACAGTCATGAAGATAGATATGCATGAATATTTATATGAATATATTAAAGTGAACAGACAGCAGTTTGTGATTTGATATGATTGTGGGTAAACTATAAGTACACTGTGTTTGTGTAAACTTCACCTCACAGCTTTAGTGATGTCACTGAACAATGTTAGGTAGATATTAAAAACTTGCTCCCTTTAATAACCTGATCTCTCAAACAGGTTTCACTCTGAAGAATGGACTTTAACCACAGCAACATCACCGCTGAGCTCAATGACTATAACAAACTTAATTTCATCATGAATGTGGTGACATACGTAATCATTGTTATCGGCCTTCCTCTGACCCTCGTGGCCATCTATGCTCTTTATTCTATGGTATGTACATTCTGACTGAGAGTTATTTATTTCCTTTCTGTGTCGTGTTTCTGTCCTACAGTCTGTCTGTCTGTCCGTCAAGGATCTGGTTTGGGGGCTAGGTCCCCTGGGGACTTACAGGAATGGTATACTCCATAGTTAAAATGTACATTTAGTTACAACTTTAGACATACGGCTAACAGTCGTTTCAAGTCAGGGTTGCCACCCGTCCTTTTAAAATACGGAATCGTCCTGTATTTGAGGACTATATAGTGCGTCCCCGAATCAATACAGGACGCAGTTTGTCCCGTATTTCTGAGTTGTCTTTAATGCAGCATAGCATGCAAATAGTATTCTGTGAATACTTCTCCTTTCCTACCTCTGATTGGGCAATATCCGCTGCCATTGTTGGATCGATTAATACCGTCTGGTTCAGGGCCAATCGGAGTCAGGTAAGGACGGGTTTCTTGGCAAGGAGTCAAGTTGAAACAACAGCGGCGACAGCTCCAGAAATCCCCCGCGTCCCCTCTGAAACGGAAGCAGATGCAAAAGTAACGAGAGTGGGAGAAATCAAACAGACTACTTGACGAGTATCGAGTGAAACTGCACAGTTTGTCTGCCAGTGTTGTGTGTGGGGTGGTGATGGCACAATGGACAATAAGACACATGCCTTTGGTGTGAGAGACCCGGGTTCAAATCCATTGTGTCCCTGAGCAAGACACTTATTCCCTAATTGCTCCAAAGGCGTGCGACTGACGTAAATAGCAATTGTAAGTCGCTTTGGATAAAAGCGTCAGCTAAATGCATAAATGTAATGTGTGGTGGACGGTGGCCCGTCAGACATGTGACAGCACGCTGAGGCAGTGTAATGATTTAATAAAACATACATATTTTTTGATAGATCATGATGGATTTCATATGTTGCCTATTTGTTAAGAAATATTGTTACAATGTAAATGAAGCACAGGCCTACATTATGGTATGATTTGTTTTCAACATCAACGTTAATTCAGCTATTTAAAAGACATTTAGTTTATTAAAATATAGTGCCTATGCTAAGAATTTAAATAACTTATGCTTAACCAATCTATAGAATTGACCCTTCGCTAAGCCACACCCCGAATACACAGCTGGCCAATCACAGCGCAGTATAGGTCTCACTCTAACTGAGGTCAGCCACTGTCATGGCTGCGCTCCATTGACTCTGATGCAAAAAGAGTCGTTTTCTAGCTAAGATATGATTAAACGCTGTTCCTGAGAAACTTGTAATAGTTACAGTCGCTACCCAGAGAGGTTGAAAGGAGAAGTACGATTTATTCTCTTTCCAAAACCTAAAACAAATCCAGAAAAATGTCAGCTGTGGATCGTTCCTAAAGTAATGTTAGTTAGCTAACGCTAGCTAACTTCCTACTGAATGTAACATAATAAAGTCCTACTGTTCTGCTTTTTATTGACTGTAATAGTGAACAGAGGCCTACCCAGCCTTACAGGAAGTGTCAATCCTCTTTTGTCCGGAGATGCGTTGGTTCACTTGTACCTTGTGATCGGTAGGCTTTAGCTTCTATCTTTCATTTGTTTCATGTCCGTTTGAGTCAGTTTGACAGCCTGATTATAACCTTCAAATGTATAATGCAACTGCAAAACTGTCTGCTTCGTTCTGAGATCTCTTTTCCCAACAAATCTGACAATATTTCTCTGGGGAGTGTAGTAATAGACTGTGGCAGCGCCGACAATTTGTCAGACTTAGCAACAGTTACAAAAGAGGGCGGGGCTTAATGAAGGGTCAATTGCCTCCTTTTTTTTTTTTTTTTTTTTTAAACCTGTCCTGCCCAGCAGCCTGGTATAGAGTATAATGACCTGGATACCATATTGTGCCAGACAGATTTTACTTTAACAAGAGAGTATTAAAATACTCCTTTGTCTGTTTTATTATTTATTTAATTATGTATTGATTTGTCACCGGGCCGGACAGGGGGGCAGACACGGGGATGGGGGGGCACAAACAGACAGCACAGAGAAAGGACAACACCTGCAAGAGAAGGGGGAAAGGGGGATGGAGGGTGGGGAAAACAGGAAAAAGCTGTGGGAAACACCAATTGCAGAAAGAAACGAAACCTGCAAGAGAACAGAGAGGGGGGCTTGGGGAGGAGAAAAACAACAACAAACAAACACAAACAAAAAAAACAATAAAAATAATAATAATAGTAAAAGACAACCAGCCGAACAGCAGCAATAAACAGCTGACATATTAATGACATATTAAGACAACTAAGAGAACAATGAAAACAAGAAACAGTCACACACACTAAATAAGCAACACAACACAGCCACGAGAGCTGGAATAATAATTAATTTAAATAAGTAACTGAAAGAAAGGCATCAGGAATAATTCTACCAGGGACAACCTAAGTTTGTTTGTGTCTGTGTGTGTCTGTGTGCGTGTGGGTGAATGTGTCTGTATGTGTGTGTATGTACATGTGTGTGCGCATAAGCCTGTTAAAGAATGTAGTTGTTAGTGAGAGTGGGACGCCATGACTGTAACAGGCAGGCAAGAACCCCAGTAGCCAATAGGGGTGGAAGAAAGAAAAAGAATAAATCAAATCAAAAAAAAACAAAGACTCCCAGATGCACCGCGATGCAAACGCAGAAGACCCCGACCCAAATGCCAGTTGACAACGTAATGCCGACGGAACGCAAAAGAGGCAGAGCAGCGCCCGGACCGACCGCGGCGCGGACACAACATAGACCAGTGGCCCCCCCCATCCAGCACCCCACCGCCGCGCAGCAAACAACCACAATGCCCAAATGCCACGCAATCATCAACACCAATGCACAAGTGACGAGCCCAACGCGCACACTGCGCGAGCACGGCGACACCCATGCCCAGCAGCCCCCCGCGAATCCCGCGTGCGAGGTCGGGCAAATGAGAGAGAGCAAACGGAACAACACGACAGCGAAAGCCAGCGGAGAGAAACACCAGCAGCAAGTCCCAGCCCGGCAGCAAACGCGCCGCACAGGTCACCGTGCACCCGCCAATAAAAGTCCACCGTCCCCCCAACCGCCGGAAAAAACTAAGGCCGCTGGCGCCAGCCGACATCCCCCATGCCCAGCGCACCCCCCGGCCGCCATGCAACACCAGCCAAACCAGCAACGAGGCAAAATCAACTAGCTCAGCTGCATGCCACCAACAACCCACCCATCCATCAAGGGCCGAGAACTCCAGGCACAAACCCAGAACAAACCGGAGCACAGCCCTGCCCCGCACCCACACTGCACATCCCGAAAACTAACTATATACCTCAGTATCCAGAGGGGACCAACAGCTGGCCGACAGAGAAATGGGCAAGCACGGATCCGAGGCCAACGAAGCAAAACAGGAACGCAAACAGGTCCCTCCAAGCCAACGAGGAGATGCCTCCCCCGGACTCCAATGCACAAACTAAACGCCCAGCAGCCATCCAGAGACCCTGCCCAGGGAAAAAGTATAATGCATCAAGATGCATCGACAATCGCCCCACAATCCCACCGCAGCCCACCAAACCGCAATTGGATCAACCCGCGCAGAGACCCCCACCCCCAGAAGCCAGGACACCCTGCGACCCCCCAAAGCGCAAAGGACCCCAGACCGCATGTCCAGGGGGAAGCTGTACCCCGCCCCAAGGAAGAACAGCAGAAATCCGTGCCGGGAAGCTCGCTACCGCCAGGGAGCGATAACGCGGGAGAACCAGGCCAACGGTCCCCCAGCCCAGCCAGAGGCATCCCTCCCTACAGTGCAGGCAGTGACAGCAGCCCCCGAGGCCGATCTCATCCCCGGACAGGGGCCCAGCCCCCCCCAGTCAAGCACCCCCAAGGAGGAGCACCAAAACCTACCCCGACAACACCGGTCATGCGCCCCAGAGACTCCCGAATGCCCCCACCGTGAGAGAGCTGGCAGGGGGAAGCAGCGGGAGCCTCACCTCTGCCAAAGAGGGCCCAGACGAGGAGAGGAGACAACGGGGCCCCCAGGCCCAGGGACACACCACCCGCCCAGAAATGAGCAAAGGCCACAAGCCCGAGTCCGCAGAACCCTAGGCCAAGGGCGGGCCCCCACGCCAGGGGAGCCCCGACCCCCCCCAGCCCACCCCAGATCAGGCAAGGCCGTCACCAACCCCACAGCACCCCCAACGCCCGGGGCTCCAGGGGTAGGACACGAGGCCAATGAGAATCTCTCCCACTCCTTCAACCCCTTCAACCCCTCTGCCTGCCTCTGTAAATGTATTGTTTTGTGTTGGATGCATGTCATGGATTGTGAAGTGTTGTATGGTGGAGTAAAGATAAGGTGCGTGGTAACTAAGGTGCAACTAAAATTGGAGGGTAGTTGTGACACAGGCACCCCACAACTGTCAGGTAGTGGAGCCTCCCATCGTGCCCCTCCCACCCCCCAAGCCCTCTGTGTCTAATGTGTAATTAAAATTGAGGGGCAGGCAGTGAGGGAGGAAGAAGTGCGAGGCCGCAATAAAGCAGCCCCACCCCCCAAACGCCCTGCAGGCTGCCCGCCCCCCAGGATCCTAAGGGTGTATGTTGTGAGACATGACCAAAGGGGGAAAGGTGAAGGAGGTCATAGGGAGGCTAGAAGACCAGATTCCTGACTGGCCCCATCATTTATTCAGTCCCGTCCCCCACCCCCCCTAAGCAGGAGGACGCCAGGTCCCTCCAGCCCAGGGCTTATAGCAAGAGCCCCTCTAGCACCGGTAGCACCCCAGAGTCAGTGACAACCCCGCCCATCCCCAGGACGGGCCCAGCCCCCCCAGCGTGCAGACCCGCCCCAGACCCAGAGGCTCCAAAGCCCCGTGCCCCAGACCCCCACACACTCCCTCAATACTATAGAATTAACAATAGGCTGAAAAAATAAATGCACAAATATTTACCGACCAATCATAAAAATGGTGTTGAATTAAATTTAGAAATGTTTGTAGATGGATTATTTGTGTGGTTTTGTTGTTTTGGATGGTATTACTGCAAACAATGACACATATTTTAGCCACAGTCTGTGTTCACACCACCCTTTACAATTAGTCAAGTTTATTAGCAATTTTTTCAGCAAGAACAGGTGCTCTGTGGAGGTCATTAGTAGTGAGCTTTTTCTGTTCATAGTTTTACTGTAGCAGTTTGAAAGACAAACAGCTACTCAGTGCTGCACCAGTAGTACTTCTGACTAGAAATCATTTATAAAAGTAAGTGGGCCTAATATGCTCCAATATTGCATACAAGGCCTACTACTGATCCACTGATGTTCATGGAAAATCCTTTGCGAAAGTATTTTTAATCAAATCGTATCAAAGTATTTGTTTTAGCCTATTTATGGTTAATAAGTTATGGAAATGTTGATTGTAGAAGTTAATAAAATACAGTTCAGATCCTATTTATTTTGTAGCCTCACTGTCACACATTGTTGGCCTATGTTTATTATTGTCGTAGCTGTGGGACCAGCTGTGATAGAGAGAGAGTTCATCTGTTCACACTGATTTCAATAGCAGATAGCTTATCATAATGTAATGTCCATTAGTATTAATCTTAATACTTACCTGAAATAATTTTAAGTTGTGATATACCACCACTGGCACAGTATCGGTCCTGTCGTTGCCTTGGGCTAACGTCCGTTTCGCTAAATTTGGTTCTAGCTAACAGTCATTTTTGAGCAAACATCAAGCTAACATCTATTTTGAACCAAAATTGTTTCGAGCAAACAGCTGTTTCACGCTGAAGTCTTTTCGCTGAGCTGGCTTCAGCAGGGGCTTTGGCACCGGGATGCCCGCTGCCTACTGTCCGTTACACAGAACCGTCTGAAGTCGTCGTCGGAAACAGATATGAAGAATGAGAACTTTGTGCTTTTCCTTGCTCGTGTTTTAATAAAGAATATTCTCCAGTTCAGATATAACTGATGCTAGCAACATACATGCTAACCCCTTTGGTATAGACATTTCGAGTGAAAATTCATCTCAAACAAAGTCTTTCGAACAAGTTGTTCCAAGCTAAAAGTCGCCGTTCAAGCTGAAGTCATTTAGAGCTAAAGCCATCTCGAGCTAAAGTCGTTTCGAAAACAGTCTTTTCAAATGATGTTTGAGTGAAAAAGTGTTTCGAGCCAAGAGTCGTCTTAAACTAAAGTAAATTCAGACTAAATGAGACTTCTGGCACTGGGATGCCAGAACCCTCCACTGCTCACTCCAAGTCATTGCTAATCTGACTATGTCAGAAGGTTGAGCGTACGTCGTTTCAAGTGAATAGTCGTGAACGAGAAGGGGCTTTCGGCACCGGGATGCCAGAGCCCCCTGCTTTACACTTCCAGCCATCGCTGACTGTGTCAGATCGTTAGCATTCTTGTTTCAAGCTATCAGTCACTTCCACACACGTCATCACACACCCAGCTTTAGGGCATGGCAGTACTTCCTCATAGGCCGCCATTGACACAATGAACGCTGACAAATTCTAGCTGCCAGACAAGGTTTCGCAACTGCGGCAGCTTGCTCTTGCTAGCACTCCCAGCAGTCTACTTCCAGCAACCACAACCAGCTGTGGTGGGGCATTAGGCACTGGGATGCCAAAACCCTCCCGCAGCCCACATCCAGCAACCGCTGCAGCTCACTCTATAGGGAAAGATGGTTGGTCCCTGAAACAGCATAGCCCTCTCTTACATTACAGGCCAGCTTGAAGAGCTTCATCCACCATCACAACAAGTACAACGTAACAATCCAACCATTCAATCTCGTCACTACGTCTCATTTCATCAGCTACACCCAATCCATGATGGCTATAAAACGCAATCCATCAAAGTTCCATCCTTTCCAAACTTCTAACCTGTGTGCCCGGCCTCTAACCATTATCAGATAACCTTACTTCTTAGGTCTTCAATGTCAAGAGCCATCTCAAGACCAACTCTGCCTTCTTCTCCCAGCAGACTCACTGTTCGTCTGTATCCGCAACAACAGCATCCTTGAATTGTCTCAAATTTCAGAATCTACGTTCACACTTGATCTCTTTGGTTTCACTTAACTGCTTCTTCCCTTTGCTTTGACCTTTGGCGTCATACCTGCAATTCAGACTCATTTCCCAACAACAACACTGTGTTCTTAAAGCAACCAAATCCAATAAATCAAATCAAATCGTCTTTTTCCAGTCCAATCACCTCTGAACCCTTTCAAGACCCTTGTGAACTACTTGCAACTCTGGGAATCCTAGAGCACAACTTTGTCATATCGAGTCCAGTCCTGTGGCCATTCAATTCTGGTTCCACCACCACTTCTGCCAAGTACTCTTTTGCCAAGCATTTCGCTCATCCATTACCCCGGTCACTCCTTCGGGATCAGAGCTACCATTCCAGCCTCCTGCAACGTCATTCCCAAACACCTGATACATAAATGCACTGCTGGTCTTCCCAAGCATACCATCATCATATTCGCTCAGATCTCATAGATCCCAGATCAGCCAATGCTCTCCCACATAACTGCAAGCTTTTGGGGGGTCTGTCATGCCCGGGTGCTACAGCGGATTTCTCTATCGCAGCTTCTCCACAACGCTTTCGAATGTCTATTCAGCAACAGCAAGCCTCGTACATCTTTCTGGTTCGATCATTAATAAATCATTTAATCGTATCTGGTGATTGTGTGGTCCTTGCTAGTGAAGTTACAACTAAAGACAAATGTAAGAGTAGTTTGTACAGTATTATTTGGGCTCATGGTGTTTTTTTATTAGAAAAACAATCAAGGAAATTGTGAAATTTTGTAAACATTTGTTTTGTATTTTAACAACTTTTTGATGGATTGCCATCGTTCGGTCATAAATGTTAATTTGTCCAGTTATTTGGTTGATGACTGAATTACCCCCCCCCCCACACACACACACACACACCCCGCAAGTGTTTCTGCCGTTTTCCTGATTTTATGAATTGTGCTTTTTATTAATTTAATTTTTACTTGACTCTTAGACAATATTGTCTTTCTTTCTCTCTGCATGAATGGAACAGAGGTTTATAATAACTGTTGTTAAACATAAGCCTATATTTAATGCACCTTTATTATTATGTTTCCCTGCAATCTGACAGGTGGAAAAATTGTGTGACCTCAGTAAATCCAGTAAAAACATAACCTCTGTTAACATGTCTCCTTATTATTTGATCCTCCCTGAAATGCATTTACAATGAGGAGAGAGGCTCACCTTGCAAACACAAACATGAGCCTCAAACTGTGACTCCAGTCTGGTGTGTCTGTTTAATAAATCCAGCTCATGTGTTTGAGCCAGAACGCTTCATAACTGTTGCTGAAAAACTGCTGCAGAAGCTGCAGGAAATCTGGCCCTTAGTCTTGTTACTGCAGTGATTGGCCAGTGTGTCACATCTGAGATTTCTGTTGGATGAAAAAGTCAGAAATGGCTCTGACTGCAGCTGCTGGGCAGAGCAAGATGACAGATTTGGGAGGAGGTGGACTTCACAACATGTTTCCAACTGCTTGTTGACTTTTACCAATGTTTTCCGGCAGGTGAGAAGTGATCATGTTGCTCCCATCTACGTCATCAACCTTCTCATTTCTGACCTCCTTCAGTTCTGCTACATGATCGTTGAGGTGGCACAACCTGAGGATGAGAAGATATCAAACATCTTCTTATATATTTACTTCTCTGCTCTGTTTGCCAGTATTGGCTTCATGGTCTGCATCGCCCTGGAAAGGTATCTGTCTATCCAGTATGTGTGGAGCTCCTTCTGTGTCTGAACATTATATTAGTTTATAACCCTGAAGCTCCTCAAAGACTTTGTGTCCATCTTGTATTACAGGTATTTGGTCATCGCCCACCCACTGTGGTACCGCTTCAGACGAACCATCAAGACCTCTGTGGTGGTCTGTGTCGTGGTCTGGGTCCTTTCTCTTGTCTATGCCGTCCTTTTTTATTTCAAGATTGATTATTGGGTCGTGAAATTTATCTTTGCCATCCACTTCCTCCTTCCCTTCCCACTGTTAATATTCTTCCTGGTTGGGACCCTCAAAGCCCTGTCTGCTTCCACCTCAGTCCCCTCTGATGAAAAACGACTAATTGTGGGAATTTTGGTTCTGGTGCTGTTTATTTACACTCTGCTGTTCCTGCCCAGAATCATTTGGGACCTACAAGTAAACCCTAGTCATACCCTCACCAGCGTGTCTTTCATGTTTCTTAAGTTGAATCCTCTTGCAGACTCAGTCCTGTATGTCTTCATGAGGAAAGGGATCATAGACAAGCTTTTGGCCTCTGTGTGTTGCTGTAGAATGGACAGCAATGATATCAGCAGTCCATCAGTATGAATGATGACAACATTTCCACAGTCAGCTTCATGTAGGCAAACAGGACTACAGACTTTTTTTAGGTAATAATTTGGAGTAAAGTGTAATGTGTAGTCCGCCTACAGATAGTTTATAGAGCATTTGTAACATTCAAACAGCTTATTAATTGAGATTCAACTCCTCCACAAATAAAATTCTGATATTACACCCCTGTGGTGAAAGTTAGTGTATTCACTTTAATTTCAGATAATTGTATAGACCAGGGTTTTTCCAAAGTCTGAGACTGCGGGCCTCCCCTCAGACAAAGTTTGGGAAATGACACCCCCCCACCACATCTTTAGTTTACTTGGTAAGTTTCGCTCAATTCCTGGATGCCTATGGGATCATGATTATATTATTTGATCCCATAGACACTCAACATTTTAGCTAAAATAGCCTAATATTGCTGTTATAACTTCTGACTGCACCAAATAGTTTCAAAAAAGGTCTGTCTAAGGCATTTAGTAGTTTCTTACTCTGATGGGGGGTAAACAGTTCCCAAAAACTACTGTGTCTCTGAACTCCCACATGTAGACTATTGTATGTGATCTCCTTTTGATAACTAATGCAATAAGTAATGTAATATTGTCTCACTTTCATTCACTGAGCCTCCCCCGACATTGTTTGGAGCACCCCTAGGGAGGCATGCCTCACATTTTGAAAACCCCTTGTATAGACTACTATATAGCTTACCACTAGTAGGCTACAATATTAATTCCAGTTATATTTATCTGTTGTTTTCCTTCATTAAAGTATTATTCAAGAAAAATGCTCTATATGGTGGTTAGTCTCTGATTTATTAATGTTAATTAGGGGAGACCGGGTATGGTTGTAACACTTTCTGCTTCAGCAACAACAACTCGCTCAATTTTTTTGCCAGAGTTCTCAAACTTTAACCTGTTGAAAACAGACCCCTTTTTCCAGAAAAAACGGCTAAAATTACATACCCAAAATTAATCAGGAATAACGCAACCATTTCGCCTAGATGCATAATTCTGGTCTCCTTTGAAAAGTCAGAAGCTAAGGAATATGAATCCATTGTGTATTAATATTTATTTTACTTTTACAGACTACATGGAGATGCAATAAAGAAAAAATCTGATATTTTTATCCTCGCCTGGTAAAAAAAGCTATATTTTGATGCAATAAACCATCAAAACCATCCTGAGTTAGCTTTTAATGCAACTGAATATCCATATTTTGGCAATATTTATTGTTTAAATGCTGACTTTTATTGATAGATGTCTTTAAAACACTTTTTCAGTCCATACAACCCATTTCCAAATGACAAAACATTGAAATATTGATAAAAACAGGAGTATTTATCAACATTCCTGTCACTAAAAGCACTCCCATGCTTTACAGGCCTGTAGATTGAGAACGGAACATCCCACAGTGATGGGGGGATATCAATCGATCCGGCCCGAGCAGACCTTTCATTTGATACCCATGTCTATATATCTCTAACGGATCGGCCACAAAATGCCAAAAAACACCGTATGTTCTCAAGCAGCATGTTTCCTCTCTGCAGAAACGATGACAGCAGGCAGGCAGCTTGCAGGTATTGCACAATAATCAAGATGGCGCCCGCTTAGACTCGGAGCAACAACATTGGCGGGTTTTGGAGTTAAAACGGCGAAAAAATAAATTCTCAGTCATTATCATTGCGTCTGCTTTCAGCACCCACATTTGTTCACTACAAATGGCACCAATTCAATCCTCTACAAGAATATTACAGGCCTCCTGAGTAAATGTCAAATACATGGTGTTCCTTTTTTTACAACCTATCCCACTACCAGGGTAGGTTGTAACAGACAAAAGAAGCAAAAAACAGGTATAGTGAAATTCACTAACAAGAACGACGACCATATGGGGTATAAAAGCAGTTATGACTGAGGGGTCGAGGGTAGAGGGATGAAGGGGTCGAGAACAGAACAATGGAAGGGGATAGAAATACCAACGCTTTCACAAAAAGTGACAAAACATAGTTATTTGATGCCAAAGGTACCTTTCAGCACCCAGTGCGTCTCTATGAGACTATTCCGGATGCGTCTCTGAGACACTCTGGGACATCTTGTACAGACCGGAAGTGCTAGCTAACTAGCTATGTTCGTGTTAAAGGTGTTGACAGCCCCCCGAAGCCCCCTACCCTTACCATAACCAAAGTCACTGACTTTATTAGGGCTGACCCCAAATAGTCGAAAATTCGATGCTTCGATGGGCAGAGCCTGATGTGACTGTCAATCTCAGTCGAAGCTTTGCAAACAAACAAGGATCATGCCATTTTGGCAATATGGGGGTGCTCAACGTCTGATTTTGCATAGAACTACCAGTTTTCTCCCAATTACATTACATTAATATACAGCCTATTACAATACACATTTCAATGTTTAATGTTGTAAATAAACATGTAAAAAGAAAAAACAACTTCCAATAAATGTTTTTAAAGTGCCCTAGACTTTATACATGTCAACCGGCTAACCCTACTGCTGTGCACATAAGTAGGGTTGGCCTCCTTTGTGTTGCTGGGACGTAGCAAACGGTGGCACTTCATACGGACACTGAAGGGTACCTTTAGCGTAAAATACTTACGCTTTGTAACGCTGTCTGAAAGTGTCAGTTATGACACATTGAGATGAGAACGTGTTGAAACAGATGGAAGCGGCTGAGGTTATTGTCAATATAGCTAAGGTATGGGAAGACGAGCATTTTGATGGTGTGGTCTGGAAGCCCTTGACTGGAGGCAGAGGAAGCGGCCCCAAATCCAGAGAAATCCTGGATTTGGAAAGGATTTGGTGGAGATGGGTAATGGAAAGAGACCTTTGTTTATGATGATAACAGCAGTGTGGTTGTCTGTGTGTACCAGAATGACTTTTTTGGACCACATATGCTCCCAAAGAATGGTGGCGATGACTACTGGGTACGGTTCATAAAGGGCAGCGTAGGGGGATAGTAAGGACAGTTCTGGCGGCCACTCAGAGGCGAACCATCTGCCTCCGTAGTAGTGGAGAGACCGTATGCTGGAGGTGAGGATAGCGGTATGACTGTGAGAGTGTCGTCCAAAAGATGGATGACCCAGCAGAGTGCTTTGGAAAGCAAGTCAAAGATCTTTGGGCTTCTCTTGCACCGAATATGAGGCGGACTGCAAAGTAGAAAGAAATGTTCCAAGAGACGCCGAAAAAACTCCAGAAGTCGGGATGGATGGGCACGACTGGTAATGTCAGCTTTAGCCAACAAGGCTTTGTGGCGGGCAAGACAGATGAGGTTGATGGCTTGTGAGATGGTTGTGTAATGCATGGAAAAATCTGGACTGGGGAATGAGGCTGTTGATGCTTAGAATGGTGGTGCCATGGGGGGTCGCCAATGAATCTATTTTTGCCTGAGTACTTTCTGGTATGGGGAAGGGGGAAGGGGGGCTGGTGAAAAGCCCATCATGAAACAGTTGGGCAATTCTTTTGCTATGAAGTCTATCCACGGTATTGGACTTGGCGAGGGCGGACTGGAGGTTATGACAAGTGAATGATGAATTGGGAATGACCTCGATGCCTGGATGGAAACCAAAGGCGAAACTGAGGGGAATAGCGATAGAAAAGGAGGAAATGGAGTGAGTCCGGTAGGTGGTACGCTGTGGCTTGTTGTGGCTAAGCCAGAGCAGACAGCAGCGTTGGTTGCTGTGAAAGGGAAAGAAGTAGCTATTTTAGCTGCAGCTGAAGGAAGGGGAGGAGAAAGGATGCTGGGATGGAGGGATGCATGTGTGGGGGTATGGTGTGCAGCCTGCGTAGTGACGTCATCAACGTGCTTGTAACGTTGGGTCTGGAATGCAGAAGTGATGGCTGTACCAGTGTTAAAGGTGGCTGGGCTGAGCCTGGAGAAGCATGGCTTTGTTTGCGTTCTGGTGGAAAGGAATTTGCCTTTCCCGAAGACGGGCGGAGAGATGGTTGTGCCGTGCGAAGGAACCAGATCAGCAACGGCGTCTGTGGCCTCTCTGTGTGCTTGGTGGAGTCAGCCCACGTGGAAGGATGTTACAATGGACGGAGGATATTCAGAAACCACGGACTGGTTGTCGTACAGATCGCAGTCCGAGGGGCTGAGAACAAGCTCGTAATCCATAACAAGGTAATCGAAAGTACTTTTGGGTAGCTTCAGTGTGTGTGTGTGTGTGTGTGTGTGTGTGTGTGTGTGTGTGTGTGTGTGTGTGTGTGTGTGTGTGTGTGTGTGTGTGTGTGTGTGTCAAACGAATGGCGTAAGAACTGAGACAAACAAGAACAAGAGGGGTTAGACGGGCTTATATACACTCACCTAAAGGATTATTAGGAACACCTGTTCAATTTCTCATTAATGCAAATCAACCAATCACATGGCAGTTGCTTCAATGCATTTAGGGGTGTGGTCCTGGTCAAGACAATCTCCTGAACTCCAAACTGAATGTCAGAATGGGAAAGAAAGGTGATTTAAGCAATTTTGAGCGTGGCACGGTTGTTGGTGCCAGACAGGCCGGTCTGAGTATTTCACAATCTGCTCAGTTACTGGGATTTTCACGCACAACCATTTCTAGGGTTTACAAAGAATGGTGTGAAAAGGGAAAAAAAAAATATGCGGCAGTCCTGTGGGCGAAAATGCCTTGTCAGAGGCAGAGGAGAATGGGCCGACTGATTCAAGCTGATAGAAGAGCAACTTTGACTGAAATAACCACTCGTTACAACAGAGGTATGCGGCAAAGCATTTGTGAAGCCACAACACGCACAACCTTGAGCCGGATGGGCTACAACAGCAGAAGACCCCACCGGGTACCACTCATCTCCACTACAAATAGGAAAAAGAGGCTACAATTTGCAAGAGCTCACCAAAATTGGACAGTTGAAGACTGGAAAAATGTTGCCTGGTCTGATGAGTCTCGATTTCTGTTGAGACATTCAGATGGTAGAGTCAGAATTTGGCCTAAACAGAATGAGAACATGGATCCATCATGCCTTGTTACCACTGTGCAGGCTGCTGGTGGTGGTGTAATGGTGTGGGGGATGTTTTCTGGGCACACTTTAGGCCCCTTAGTGCCGATCGGGCATCGTCTAAATGCCTTTAGTTATATAACTCCATTAAAAGTCAAACTTACTTAACAGATTATAAATACTACAACAATGTACCTTACCACGATGTGGGCTTTGTAGATCATTGGCTGACTTTCTGGGGAAGACCTGGTCTGATTCGGAGAGACGGCATCCATCCCACTTGGGAAGGAGCAGCTCTCATTTCTAGAAATCTGGCACAGGCCGAGGAGTTGGAGTTGCAGCTATCTTCGACTCTACCCTACTAATCAGCTCTAAACCTAAACTAAATTATAACTCATTTGAAAGCCTTGTTCTTAGTCTTTCACACCCAAGTTGGAAATCACTGCAACCAATTCTTTTCGGTATAATGTACCGAGCACCTGGTCCGTACTCTGAATTCTTATCTGAGTTTGCAGAGATTTTGTCAACTTTAGTCCTTAAAACGGACAAAGTTATTATTGTGGGGGATTTTAATATGCATGTGGACAATGAGAATGACAGCTTTAGTACCGCGTTCATCTCTCTGTTAGATTCCATCGGCTTCTATCAGAGTGTTCATGAACCGACTCACTGTTTTAACCACACCCTCGACCTTGTTCTGGTATATGGTATTGAAAGTGAACATTTAATAGTGTTCCCACAGAATCCCTCTTTATC